TCCAAAGGCGGTTTGGAAGCAAAATGCTGGAGAAACAGGTCGTGACAGTAACGGCAGCTAATTTTACCGTGGTCTTGTAACATGGCAGGTGCAGGTCTGAGTGTTGTATGTGCATCATTGCACCAAATCCTCAGAGTATCTCCACGGGGAGGGCGGTCTGTGGTCCTTAGTTGGCTAATGAGCGAATGCAGGCCTGGAGAATTGAGAAACGTACACGAGGGTGTGCACCTGTTAAGCAGTAGCGCCAGGACCCCCACCTGGGTGCTGGATGCCGGAAGCAGGGCTTTTGGGGGGGGAAGAGGAGTGGTCACAAGGCCCCCGCCTGCTTTTCAAGCTCCACCTTCAGAGCTGAGTTTCTTTGAAGGGCCCCGCCCTGGCCTCACGCTGCCTGCCACACCTGGGCGTGGAGCTGAGGTCATTGCAGACGGAACGGCTGCAGGTTAACTGCCCAGGTGTGGGGTGAGGACCTTGCTCTCAAGCATCCTGGAAGCTCTCGGACGTTTTCCCTCTGGCCCCGGCTTTGTCTAGAGAGCTCAGGGCTGGCAGAGTCTTCCTGCCTCCCACCTCCCCAGCTCCACCAGCAGCCTGCTAGGAGCGCTTGGCCCTCAGGGCGAACCCAAACTCCTTACACAGTGTTCCAGGCCCTGCCCACCTGTCCTGCTCACCTGCCCACCTGCTCACCTGTCCTGGTCACCTGCCCACCTGCTCACCTGTCCCGCTCACCTGCCCACCTGTCCTGGTCACCTGCCCACCTGCTCACCTGTCCTCCTTACCTGCCCACCTATTCACCTGCCCAGCCTCACCTGCCCACCTGCTCACCTGTCCAGCCTCACCTGCCGCCCTGCTGCTGTGTCCTGCGTCCACCTGTCCTCTGCGTCCAGTGTCGGCCCTTCCCATGGCCACACGCTCAGCCCAGCCCACCTGCCTGGCGGCTCTCGGGGCAGCCACCTTCCTCGGGCATCGTCACCTTCCCCAGCCAAACTTGAGGGCCAGGCGGGGACAACCACCTCCCAGAGGACAGGATCAAAACGAGATCTGAAAAGGGATTTGTCATCATCCCCCAAGGAAGTCCACAGGAGGAGAGGCGGGATGGGTACACGCTGTGATCCCGGCACCCTGGGAGCCGAGGGGGAGATGCTCGGGGGTCAGGATTTCGGAGACCAGCCTGAGCAAGAGCAGACCCTCGCTCTACTAAAATAGAAGAAATTAATTGGACAACTAAAACATATAGAAAAAATTAGCTGGGCATAGTGGGACATGCCTATAGTCCCAGCACTCTGGAGGCCGAGGTGGGCGGATGGCTCAAGGTCAGGAGTTCGAAACAGGCTGAGCAAAAGAGCGACAACTTTTCTTACTAAAATAGAAAGAAGTTAATTGGACAGCTAAAATATACGCAGAAAAATTAGTGGCTGTGGCGCATGCCTGTAGTCCAGCTACTTCGGGGCTGAGGCAGGAGGATCGCTTGTGCCAGGAGTTGAGGTTGCTGTGAGCTAGGCTGATGCACGGCACTCTAGCCGGGACAGATGAGACTCTGTCTAAAAAAAAAAAAAAATACCAAAACTTCTATGTTGCTTCAGGACAGGGCGCACCGTGAATCAGACTCATAAACAGTGACGTTGCTAGTGACAAGTAAGGCGTGACTAATCCTGGTGGAGCAGGTTCTCCCTCTGAACACGGTTTTTCATGGGACAGATACGGTAAGTGGTGTTTGGTTTCCGAGCCAGGCTGGAACTGACGAGTTCCTTTGCATTCAAGAGGTTTAATTGATTTCATGGTTGCTCATGATGTCGTTCCTTTCTGGGATTCCGTAACTGCTGGAACCAGAGCAAAAGGGACATTTCTTGAGTTAGCTTTTACGTCACCGTTGAGTCTCTCTGAATTCTGGTCTTGCGTGCCCTAGTTTTCATGAGTGAGCCGAGGGTTCGCCCCAAGATATTGCCAGCACTGGTCAGGCACAGATTTATGGCTCCAGCCATGGGACACGAGCTTCTTGCGCTCACTGGCCATGACTCTTGCGGGGGGAACAGGTGCGGGAAGGGGAGGAGGCAGGTGCAGGGAGGGAACAGGTGCAGCGGGGTTGGGGGACCAGCTCCAGGGGATGCAGTCCCCTGCAACATGTGCACCCAGCCTGGCATTTAACGTTTGGGCAAAGGGGGCCCGGACAGGCCAGCCTGGATCTGTTCCCCCAGGGCTGGTCTGGGTGTGGGTCTGCAGCCACGCCTGGCGGGGGGGGGTTCATCCTGCAGTCCCCTGCTTCCCCCGCCGACCTCGAAGCCCGCAACTCGGGACGCGATTCAGCTCAGTTCGGGAAAACGCTGGTCTGGTGCAGCTGGTGCCCCGGGTACAGGTCAACTCTGGGCTGGTGGCCTCGAGAGTGTACTCCCTGGGGTCTTGAACTCCTTGCGAACTAAGGCTTGGTGGGGAGAGCTGTGAGGTCGCGTTTCGGCCCTCGATTATTTTTCTAAACTAAAGATAAATAAACAAAATTTTTTTTCCCAGTTGTCGAGGTTAATTGACAGATGAAATTGTAATATTAAGGCGGTGTGATTGTGAGTGCTGGCGTACTGCAAACCGCGAATTGTTTCCGACCAGCTGATCCGAACCATCGCTCACACAGTGACGGTATTTTGGTGGCGTGGCGGAGATACGCTTTAAGATCAATGATTTCTAGGCAAATTCAGGGACACGATACAGGTGCTATTAACTAGAGTGAGACATGCTGCAGGTATAGATCTCATAAGAACCGCTTCAGCCCGCGACATGCTGCAAGTTAGATCTAAGAACCGCTCAACAACGCGAACGAAATCGTGCACCCTCTAAAACCCGGATTCGGACTTTAGTTCTGCAGGAAAAGCGCGGGGCTGGGGTTTGTGTTTCCACATGCCAGTCTCCCACCTGTTTGGACCGCCCGGGCTAGGGCCGTAGGCAAGTCATTTCCTCTCTGGTTCTTTCTTTGTGTGTCCAGGCTTGTTGGGATTGTCTGGCGCGGGGCGCAGGGGAGCCTGTGGAACCTCGTTGTCTTGCACCCGGACACTGTGAGGAATTCGGCTTCTGCATGAGAAGGAGGGGCTGGAGCAGGGTGCTAGGTGATGCCGGAGAGACTGAACTGTCCAGCAAGCTGTGCGAGGCCTGAGGGGACAGCGAGTTCGGTAGAAAACAGCTGGAGGTCCACGCCTGTCATCGCGGCATCTGGGGAGGCCGAGGGGAGGAGTTGCTCGAGGTAAGTGTTCAAGACAGCTGAGCAGAGCAAGACCCATCTCTACTAGAGAGTAAAAGAATTGCTGGACATAAAATATAGAAGAATTAGCGGCGTGTGGTGATGCCTGTAGTCCTAGTACTCGGGAGTGACGGCAGGAGGATCGTTCGATCCAGGGAGTTGGAGTTGCTGTGAGCTAGCTGGATTGCACGGCACTTTAAACCGGGCCAGACAGAGTCGATGCTGCATTGAAGAGAAAAGAAAAGAAAGAAAAGAGCCGGAGAAGGGAGCCTGGGTGCAGATTTGCCTTTCAGCCGCGACCACAGCTGGTGCGCATAGCTGCTATCTGGGCGCTCCGCAGGTCTTTGCTGCGGCTGAAAACCTGGGGCAGGTTGCTTGTTTGTTTGCAGCGGCTCAGGTGAATGTTCTTATTGATTTAACTTGTCTTGGTGTCGGGGCTCACTGGCGCTGAGCAGGGGGGCAGGAGGATCGCTGGTGCAGGGCGAGCTTTGCAGAGTGCCGGCCCTGCTGCAGTTGGTCTGCCTGGTTGGGTGGGGCCAGAAATCTGCATTCTCTTAATAGCATGTCTAAATCCTAGCACTCTGGGAGGTCAAGGGGAGATTGCTGGAGTCAGGAGTTGGGAACGCGCATCAGCAAGAGCGAACCGCACCGTGTCTCTATTATAAATAGAAATTAATGGCCACTGATATATTTATATTATAAGAAAAATTACCGGGCATTGTGGCGCGATTGCTGTGAGTCCCAGTCTCGGAGGCTGAGAGGAGGGATTGCTTGGCCCAGGGTTTGAGGGTTGTAGGAGCTAGGATGACGCCACGCACTCACTTAGCCTGGCACAAAGCGAGACTCTGTCTCAAAAAAAAAAAGAAAAAAAAAACGGAAACAGTATAGAAATGCAATGTGTTAAGGGTGGTTTTTCCTCATTCTTTTATTTCTTTTTGTATCCATCATAATGTTGCGTGCTGGAATTTGGAGGAAACCGAGGGACGTAAAAATTGCAATGTTTTTTGACCAGGTTTCTTGTCTTCTGTTTAGTTGGGCCATTCCGGGGCTGCGTTGCCTGAAGCTTAAGTGGGGGGCGCACGTTTCCAGTCCCAAAGCCCCGGCAGCTCACACCTGCTCTTGCAGCCAAGGGCTGGGGTAGTGGGCACGGCAAGGCAGGCTTGGCCGGGCTCTCGGGGCGTTCTTGTTTGTCCTGGTGGTCCGGGAGTTCCACCTAATTTCCTTTCACTTATCCAAGCAAATAGAAGCAATGCCGCCGGAGCGGTGAATGCCATCTGAGCACAAGAGCACAGCTAGGACACAGGGCGAGGGCTGTCCCGAGGTGCATCGGCCCCCCCCACTGGCCTCAACGCTCTACATCCGTCCACACACGCCACGACCTCTACCGTACCATTCCCAAGGCTGTAGAATGTGTTCATATCATACCTGCACCCCATAAAAGTGAAGATGAATTAGAATTACATGTTTTAACACAAATAGATCTAAAAAAATAAAGTGGTAAATGAAGAAAGTTGCCAAACCTTATCTACGTGCGGTACGAATCCATTTGTTTAAATTAAAAAAAACCGAAACAGCCTAAGTATCTAAGGATACTATATGGAGTAGATACACGACATCATGGAAACCACATGCCAGCATCATGGAAAATCATGGAAACCACACGCCACATCATATGTGTGACTTGCGGCAGGAAACTGTAATATCTCGTTTCTTAAGGGGTGTGAAGCAACACGATAGGACTTTACATCATGTAAGGTGGCACGTAGCTACATGGGCATTATTCTCCACGTGTTTTCATATTTAATTTTTTCATAATAGAAATTGAATGTACAGAGTGACAAAGGGCAAAAATGTTCTTTAAAAGAAAAAAATGGGGAAGAGATCTGTGTGTCCATTATACACTGCATTCTGCTTAGAAATACCTTTCAGCTTCCTGGTTGGCTGCAAGATTGTGGTTTTGGTTGTAAGATCTCGACTTCTACCGTGGGTGTTGACACTTTTGGGGGTAACTGCTCCCCTGGGACCAGCTCGATGTTCAAAGCCCACGGTTGTGCCGTTTGGCTCGCCGAGCCCCACCTGCAGGAAGGTGCGGGGCGAAAGGCCTTTGACTGCTCAGCCTTGCCTGTCCTGGCTCGGCCCACTCTCTGCGATGAACCTCCTTGATGTGGCTCTGGGGCAAGGCCTCAGCCTCAAGCCCTCCCCTTTGGGGACGTCAAAAACAGTTCCTCATACCAGAGGGGCTGCTTTTTGCAGTGAGTAGACTCGGGTGCACACACTGTCCCCAGCTTGTGCAGGTGCTGTCCGCCCTCTGCAAGGGGGACACCTGGGCAGGTGAGGGGACACCTGGGCAGGTGAGGGACACCTGGGCAGGTGAGGGGACACTTGGGCAGGTGAGGGGACACCTGGGCAGGTGAGGGACTGAGGAAGGGGCCTGGTGGGATCCCAGGGAAGGAGTGGAGTCTCCTGTACCACAGAAACGCTACCTGTGGTGTCGTATCCATGCTTCCAGGTGAGTCTGCAGGGAGCTCTGAAGTCGTCTGGGACCAAGGGAATGCCTTCGTGTGTCTGTTCCCTCCCTGTGTCACTTTGTTCGAACTGCTGCTCTCTTTCCAGGAGGGCAACCCCCTTTCCTTCTAAACACTCGAGCTCCTTTATTCACAAAGATGAGAATAAACCGGCTCCGAGCACAAAGCTCCCAGCATCTGGAGAGCAGCTGCCCCATCTGGCGATTAAGGCGGGACTGGACCGCCATCTGGAGATTAAGGCGGGACCAGACCGCAGAGGGCCCTGGCGGGCTGGGCCCTGTGCGCCCGCCCTGCCGCAGCCCTGGAGCGGTCACTGCGCCCTCTGGGATGCCCGGGAAAGGTTCCCAGGTCCCAGAGCCTGCCTCTCCTCTCCTCTCCACGTCGGCACCACGTGGCGTGGACGGCCAGGCTCTGGTTATATTGGCACGAAGGTTTTGTGATCTCCGGCAAACATGTCTTAAGCTGGCTCGGTCTAAACAGAGCGGCTCCGAGAAGCCTGAGGGCTCCGGAGCTTGAATAAAGGGAGCAAAGATGGATGATGGTGCTTGCTGCGTGCACACTCGCTCTCTCTTTTGCGTGCATGTGTGCACACAATTTTGCTTGTTTATATAAAATTTCATTTTCCAGCATCTAGAGCTTTCACGGGGCAGATGAGAAGGGCTGCTCGTCTTCTTTCCCGCTCCGCGACATGCATGGGTTGTGCAGACGCGCTGCGCAGCCACGCCCGTCACTAGGGCTTATTTTCGGGGTAGGGCTTCTATTGCGCAAATGCTTAGACATCCTGCAAGGGCTTATTTTATGGAGAGGTCTTATTTTCGGGGAAACACGGTATGTTAGCAAAGAGGGTTGCATAATGTAGAAAACAGGCTCCTTTTTGTATTCATGGGGTTCTCTGGGTCACAAAGCTTTGTGGGGACTTCGACCATCAACCCTGGGCAGTGCTTTTCTAGGGTGAGTGCAAAACTACGGAAGACTTGATGTGGCTTCTCTCTTCTTTCATTCTTTTTCTGCCAAGCACGGAAATGGGAGTGAGGCTTAATCTCGGGGAATTTTACTTGTGTCATAGGAGTTACTGGAATCCCTTCTTATGCTTATGGTTTCCAAAGCCCTGGAAGAGACTTTGATCACCAAGGGCAGGGTGGGCCCTTCCAGAGAGTGTGGGATTTTGCCCGCAAGTGCGTGGGAATCCCCAGGAATGGGTCGTTTTAACAAATTGAAATTAACTGGGCCATAGAAAAAGGAATGATCAAAGCTGTCTTCAAAGAGTCTGATCATTAGTGGGTTTTTCTTTGTTTGTCTTCATTGGGGTCAGAGGAGTTCCTTGCTTCTTTTAAAAGAGCAAAGAGTATACAACTTCATTCAAGATACACGCCTGTGATCCCGGCACCCTGGGAGGCCGAGGCGGGAGGATCGCTGGAGGTCAGGATTTCGAGACCAGCCTGAGCAAGAGCGAGACCCTCGTCTCTACTAAAAATAGAAAGAAATTAATTGGACAACTAAAAACATATAGAAAAAATTAGCTGGGCATGGT